ATTGGGGTCGCCGGCTTTAAGACTAAGGTCTGCAACTCTGGGAGCTCCCTATGACTGTGACTATGTGAGAATCATTCACTGAACAACCTAACAGAGACAAATTTAGGAATATATTTTTCTAGAAACAATAGTGTGATTCTCATCAATGAATAGTACATCATTACCTCAATAGCATAACCCTGACCAAGTGACATGTCAAAGAAAAGTGTATTAGTTACCTACTGCTGTATAATAAATTACCACACATTTAGTAGCTTGAAAGAACACACATCTATTATCCATAGTTTCTGTGGATCTGAAATGTGGGAATCACCAGGGTCCTCTGCTTCAGGGTCTGTCATATGGGTACGATCAGGCGTTGAACAGGGCTGGGATCTTATCTGAAAACTTGACTGGAGAAGGATCCACTTTCAAGCTTAAATGATTGTTGAAGAATTTCAGTTTCTCAAGGGCAGTTGAACTGAGGGCCTCAGTCTCTAGCTGGCTGTTGGCCAGAGGCTACCCTCAAGTCTTTGTTATGTGGCCTTCCCGATATGGCAACTTGCTTCATCAAAGGCAGTAAGGGAGAAAGTCTGCTAGCAATAGAGAAGTCACAATCTTGTACTTGATGTACACAATCTTGTACTTTCTTTGTACCCTAATGATGGAGGTGACATCCCATTCCCTTCTCTTGGTTGGCAGAAGGTCACTAGGCCAGCCCACACAAAGGGAGGGGCTTCCCCAGGTCATGAATACCAAGAGGTGGAGATTGCTGGGGACCATCGTGGAGTTTACCTGCCACGAAGAGTCTGTTTTTTTTTTTTTTTAATGGAAAAAGAATTTTAAATCCTGAGCTCTCCTAATATATTTAAAGTAGTTTATTTGCCAAAAATAAAAAGCAACAACTAAATGCAATATGGGATCCTGAATGGGGATTTGAGGTTATTTAAATAGGGCTATTACTTTAGTTAAAGATATTGTACTAATGTTAATGTCCTGGTTCTGGTAATTATACTATAATTATATAATGTGTTAGCCTTAGGGGAAACTGGATGAAGGAAACTTTCCATGCTATTTTTATGACTTTTCTGTTAGTTAAAAAGTAATTCAAAGTAAAAAGTTAGAAAGAGTGATTTGTAAAACAAAAATCTGTATCTATTTTGTAGCTGTATTTTATTTAATAATTTTAACATTATGTCTTTATCAGAACTTTATTTTTTTGCAGATAAAATCTATAAAGTTTGTGGGAGAATGAAGATATGTTGTTCAAAGGGCACAAAAAAGAAAAAATCTATAATTTGGGGGATAAACAAATTCAAAAATTGGGGGTAGATAAATTTGCTAAAAATTATATAGGTAAAATCTATAGTTTTTTTGGTAGATAAATTATTTTACAACATCTTTCCTAGTGGAAATACCAAACAAAAAAACCTCAGTATCACTATGTAGTAGAACTATTTATATATATTTGTTTTCTGCTTAAACTGTAGTAGAAATGTGTTAGGAATTTTTGCACAATACCAAATACACATCACACATCAATTTAAAATAATCATCGTTTCTAAAATAGTATTCTGATAGCTAGATCCAACTCCTCCCCTGTGCTGAGCACTGTTTTCAGATGTCAGTCGGCTTGTTGCTTGGTTATAGACACTTATATTCCAAAATAGTGTGGTCTATCTCAGCACACTGTTCCACGTGCTGAAAAACAAAATACTTCAACCCTTCATGGGCAGTTGGATTTCATGCAAAGCAAGAACAAATGGTTCCTCATTTTACTTACTGTTTGAAAGGACTGCTAGTTATTAATACTCTACCACTATTTTGCATGTCGTAGTCCAACGATTTAAAGCTTATGGGTCTCGGTTGGTTATACCTCTTTAGAGAGCTATTTGGAAACACTCTAGACATTTTTCTTAGGCCCTATTTTTAGAATGGAAGGCCTAAATGGTATTTTAATGTCTCTATATATTCCCAGAACGAATCTCAAGAAAAAAATGTCTATCACCTTTTGAAATTTAGCAAAGCTGGTGGGATTATCACTGCTCCTCTGAGAAGCATTGTGTTAAAGGAGAAAATCTGATTTACGGAATGTTACTGGTAAAAGGACCATGAAAAATTAGCACTTTTCCAAATTCCTCACTTTTCCAATGAGGAAACTGAGTCTTGGTATAAGTGGACCCTTGGCCCAAGATCAGACAGTGAGGAGTGGCCATGTGAAAGTTTTAGGGTGGTGGGCTTACCCTTTCCTGCAGCAAATGACCGTAGTAAGAGTCAATGGGAATAAGTCAGCTTCTGAGTTAAAGATTCAGCTATAGAACATGTAAACAATCTGCTGGGCCCCTGCAGGAACCTTCATTTCTCTTACTATAGACGATTCTGAGAAAATGTGGAGTGATCCAAAAACATGTGGGTTCAGAAGTGAGGAATGGTCCAGGAACCACTAGGGAGAGTTGGGCGTCAAGTATTAGCTTTGCAGTGATCTCCCCACCTCATAATTCTGAAGAAATTCCAACCTCCCCACTCCCTGTAAATGGCACCTGACATTTCATCAATTAGAGATCCTTTGCTCCAGCAAATCTTCTAATGATGCAAAAAACTTCGTGTGGGTTAAGCATCCAGCTGTTATTATGAATTACTCTGTGTTGTTTTAATCTCTTTTCTTCTTTGAATGCCTGATTGTGATCTGCTGTCTTGGGGAATATAATTCTGATTGTAGACAAAGAAAAAAATGCTTAAGAGCACATAATGTTCCGATGGAAATGGCAGTCTAGGTGGGGTGCTGGAGTGGGGGTGGTCAGGATGATATCAGAAACTAGGACCTAGGTCAGGGACTAGAAGGCAAAGGAAGAAGGCCAAAGCCAGAGCTAGCTTTCTGAGCAGCTTTTCTGCAGGCTGTCTCACATCTGGAAAGAAAAGAGGAATGACTTCACCCTTCCCTTGTGTTTCTTAACCTTTTGACAAATACCGATTCCTTGCAGTTACCTAGGAGTTTGTAGAATGAAGGGAAAACCAACCACTGTATGCATGGTCGGTCCACTCAAAAAGCACATATCAAATTTTGAGCTAACCTTGAATTATGCTTTTGGAACAGATGTTCCTGAAGTAAGCACGGACATGTAATTGAGTGGTTAATAGAGTGGGTCCTTGGGTTTTAATCCTGGCTCTGACACTCACTATCTTAGCGACCTTGGACAAATCTCTTATTTTTCCTGTGCTTTAGTTTCCTAATTTGGGTATTAGGGAAAATAGCAATAGTACCTATCACTCAGGGCTGTAGTGAGAAATAAATGAGTTAATGCGGGTAGAGCACTTAGAACAGAGCTTAGCAAAGTGTGAATTAGGAATTCTAAGTTTGACACCTTTCTCAACCATATAATCAAGTTTTATTTGAAAAATTATAGTCTCTAAATTATCTGGAATAAGTTAAAAATATTATTTAAGTAATACTTTCTTAGCCTATAGATATCTAATATATTTCCTGAACAGCAGGCAGATGTCTTCTTTATACCGAGATACTTGCTTTGACCATTTCATGTTTTGTGTGCTAAACCTAATCTTTAAAATGCAAAACTCTCCTTCCACATCTTCACTAACAAACTTAATTATATATTAATATAGGTAGATAATTATTTGACTATCAGGACTCTAAAAGGTATTTAGTTTTAAGGCAGTATCTGAGAGGAAAGTCAAAAGCATTTGTACCTGAATGTAATTGCTGAGTACCCCTTTCCATATTTTTATGTATAACAAGATCTTTCTCCCAAGATTCTTTTATAGGACTCTATCAGTTTTACTTTAATTCAATGAATGGCACATCCTATTATGTTTCTGTAATCCATAGAAGTATGAGTGGGAGATTATAAATGTGTTTGTTGATCAAGGAATTTAAAGCCCAATTATTAGGCCTTTATATGAGACTAGACAATATGGGAGAGTAGATAGAGCATGACTGAAAGTCGAAATATTTGGATTCTCTTTCCACTTCTGCCATTAGGAAGCTGTGTGACCTCTAGTTCATCCCAGAATCTGGGCCTGTCTCAAATGAAGGATTTGAATGAGGTGTTGTTTAAGGTTTCTTATAGATTGAATCGTGTATGATTCTGCAGTATCTTAGTGACCCTACATTTGTGAAGTGTGTGCTTTGCTTTGACTAACATGTATATTTTCACTCCCAGTTTCCTTACAACCATTTGAAATGTCTCTCCAGATCACCGGCCAGGGTGAGGGATGCAGTCTATAGCTGAAAAGTAGAAAAAGCCACCTGGCTCTGCAAAGAACAAGTGCATGGCCTTGGCTTTGTAGTGTCCTAGTCCCCAGACACAGAGCTGTGGAGCCAGGAGTGTTTCATTGCCTGTCAGATGAATAAAGACAAGCTCTGAGCATCGTTACTCTTACCATCAACGGACAGTTGTCTGCATTTTTCTCTTTTGCAGAAGATAAAATAGAAATCTGAGAAGATAAAACTGCTTATAAACTGTAGATAAATACATTGTTTATAACTGTAGATAAATAACTGAGTTGCCATTTATCTGTATGTTTCTTTTTCAGGGCTACAGTGAAAATTAAGGAACAGCTTTCTCTCTGTGTCTCAGAGATACTTTGGATTTCTCAAAGGGCAGATAAAGAAATGAGATTAACCTATTTTGTGACCTACTTTTGCCTTTCCAATTTGGAGGCCTTTATTTCCATGTCAATTCTTCTTTTTGATATTAAGTAGAGCTCTTTCGTTGGTTGGCAAGTTTACTTTAGCACAGGAAATCTTTAAAAAATCATTGGGGATTAATGCTTCTATAGGAGATAGTTAGATATGTTATGGAACTAGCTTATTCCCCTTAGAACCATGACAATAGGGTGGCTGAAATTCTTGTTATAGGATTGAATGTATAAATTTAAGCTGCTAATTACAGTAAATACAAATTAAGATAATATTGCAGACCTGGTGGCCAACTTTAATTTCATTAGTATTTCTAGAAGTAGTCTGTAAAAACATTAATTTTTACCTTTCTCTTTTCTTCTAGTCATGGACTCCTGCCTTGTAGGTCCTTTTGTGAGGCTGCGAGAGAGGGCTGTGAATCAATCTTGGGGATGGTGAACACCTCCTGGCCTGATTTCCTCAAGTGCTCCCAGTTTAGAAGCCAAACTGAAATCAGCAACGTCAGCAGGATTTGCTTCTCACCAGAGCAGGAAAAAGGAAAGCAATGTAGGTGTCTGTGTTTCATCGCATTTTTAAAAGTTTTAATTGAAGTATATCATTTATACAAGGGTGTATACAAATAATATGCACAGTTCAATAAACTTTACCAAAGTGAACAGACCCATGTAATCGGCATCCCGATCAAGAAATAGAATATTAACAGTACCAGAGAAACACTCTCAAGCCCCCTCCCAGTCATCTCACCCTCCCCAAAGAGCCTCTCTTCTGACTTCTAGCACCTTAGGTAGTTTTGCCTACTTTTGAGCTTGATATCAATTGGAGTAGTCCAGTATGCTCTCCTTTTGTATCTAGTCTTTGCTCAACATATGTTTGAGAGATTCATTATGTTTTCGTCTTCTCGTGGTTTATTCATTCTTACTGTTATATAGTACTATACCACAGTGTATTTTTCTATTCTACTATTGATGGATGTTTGAGTTGTTTCCAGTTATTATGATAATGATGCTATGACTATTCTTGCACATGTCTTTGATTGAACATGGTTATGTATTTGTTCAGCAAAAGAGTTTTTTAAAGTGGTTATATCAATTTATACTCCTACCAGCTATGTGTGAAAGTGGCAATTGCTCCAAATCCACCCCAACACTTCGTAGTACCATCTTTTCATTTTGGCAATTCTGATGATAGTGTTCTGGTATCCCTTTGTGGTTTTAAGTTGCATTTTATGATGAATTTGATTGAATTTAAAAAATGTTTTTATTATTCGAATATCCTTTTTTCATAAAGTGTTTGTCCAAGTATTTTGAACATTTTTTTTCATTGGGTAGTTTGTCTTTGTTCTTGATTTAGAGTTCTCTATGCGTACTTGATATAAGCTATCTGTTGGTTATGTGTATTGTGAAGATCTCTCATTCAGTGGCTTATCTTTCCTCCCTGTTATTAGTGTCTATTATGGAATAGAAGTTCTTAATTTTAATAGGTCTACATTATCAATCTTTTCTGGTTCTCAGATTTCTAGACTCTCATGCTACAGTATATAAAAACATCTTTCTAAGCTACTAGGGAGGCCTTTTAGCCTTCACACATGAGTTACAGTTGCCCTTAGCTTTGAGTTATCCTTTTCTAGGACATTGATGCTTAGCAGTAAGCTATTCAATCCATTGTCCTTATAGTTACTTTCCTCTGTACTTTTCAAACACTTGATAAATTACCCCATTTAGTGCATTCCTTTCTATAGGTATACTATCCCAATTAACCCCCATGAGGATTTTAACAATTAGACCACCCTTGTATGCTAGGGAATGTCTATCTCTATCTACCATCAAGGATGGCAGACTTCACTGCCATCTCAGCAGTGAGTGTCCAGACTGATGATCCATCACTTCATTCTCTTTCTTGGACCACTCTTGTGACTGTCGCCAAGTTGGGTGTTCCAGAAACAGTTACTGAGATGAGGTTTGTCATCCAGGGTATTTATTAGGCATTAGCACTTGTGTAAAAGAGGGAAGAGAAACACAGGATTGTGCAGAGGGAGATGTTGAAATGAGATCCAGATCCATTAGAGCCTTGGCTAAATCCACAGGGAGTTCTGGAGTGTATGTGGCCTTCTCAGTTCCAAATTGGGACAGTGTTGTACCACATAATGATGTTTCGGTCAATGGCAAACCTCATATACAACAGTGGCTCCATAAGATTATAATGGAGTTGAAAAATTCCTATTGCCTAGTGACATGTAGCTGTCATAATGTCCTGATACAATGTATTGCTTATGTATTTGTGGTGCTGCTGATGTAAACAGACCTACTGTGCTGCCAGTCACATAAAAGTACGGCACATAAAATTATGTATAGTACATGATACTCGATAATGATAGTAAATGACTGTGTTACTGGTTTATGTATTAACTATATTATACTTTTTTACATTATTTTAGAGTGTATTGTTTCTACTTATAAAAAAAGTTTGCTGTTAAACAGTATGCTGTGTTATGCTAGCAGCAGCTTCATACGTGTTGTGTTTACCTCACTTTTTGATCATATCATTTTCTTTTGTGCTTGTTTTAATCTCATGTTGTTTAGTACAGTAACATGCTGTACAGGCTGGTAGTTTAGGAGCACTAGGCTACACCATATAGCCTAGGTGTATAGTGGGCTACACCATCTAGGTTTGTGAAAGTGCACTCTGATGTTTGCACAATAAGACAATTGCTTAAGGACTCATTTCTCAGAATGTATCCCTGTTGTTAACCTGGGCATGACTATATATCCATCCATCAGACAGTCACTGGATGTGGTCCTTCCTGGGAAGGGTGTGCCTTGGGGCACAGCTCTCTGCCCCTGAGGCCAAACCTGAAGGAGGTAAGGCTGTTGGCTATAGATGGGGGCAACAAATTCTCTCCTGAAGGTCAGGCACATAGAGTGTGAACAGATAGATCACCTAGATCCAATCAGATACTGAGGCGATTTTGCTGTTTATAAGACAGTGTTAATAAGGCTCCATCTACCTCTGGTTTGTTTCCATTCTCAGGGTGCACTTCTTTAGAGAGCCCAACTGAGAAGCTGAGGTGTTTCCTGCATTCTGCTCCTCCTTTGTCGTCCCAGATTCTAATATTTTTCTTCTCAGAACAACAAGATTGCTGGAATTTCCACTTTACTTTGCAGAGGTTTTCTGCTTAGCTCTTTATGGCAAATACATGCTCTTTCTGGCAAATGCCTTGAAGGGAAATCCTTCCAAGCGTGGTCTATGTCTCCTTCTTCACTGCTTACTTGACCCCTTGATACTTGGCTCCTTTGGCAGCACCAAAATGCCATTTTTTTTTTTTTAATCTCTCCACTCCTGTGGGATTGCCAAAAGCTCTACTGGCTTCTCTGCCTCTTCGCAGAGGTCCCATGTCCAGATTCTGAGTGTCTAGCACCATGCTGAGAATAGGCAAATTCCACAAGGGAAAAAGCATCCACAGAATGTAGCCTGCTGGTTTTGCAGTTATTTTCCCTCTTAGATCTTAGCCACTCACCTCCCAGTTGTCTCACCAGCAATTAGATGTCTTTAAAGAGATGTTTCTTGTGTTTTATCTGGCTTTTCTAGTTTTACGTGATGAGGGCATTGACCTACCACAAGTTACTACATTGTAACTAAAAGTAAGAGTTATTTATTTATTTATTTATTTATTTATTGCAGATGGGAAGATTTTACTTAGTTAGTTAGTTAGTTAGTTAGTTATTTTTAACACAATGTTTACTAGAGGTCTGCTGCTATATTAGGATTCCTTCCAAAAGATGGTACATAGCAATAAGTTATCAGAAGGATGAGCCAGTCCCTCAAGTCTTTTTTTTCTCTTTCAGCTACATCTGCCCCTATTTTGATAAGAATGCTTTACTGGTGATTATTTGGAAAATGTAGCCTATTGATACAGGACTTAAGAATCCACAGAGAAAATTTGGAAATCAAAACATCATCAGTGTTCTTTAACACTGATGATCAAAATGTATTAGTTCTTGAAAATTAAAACAATGCCAGTAGTCTTTAATAGGTCAAACTGAAATACCATTTAATATAAGTTCTCTAAATATCAGAAGCTATTACAAGTTTTCTAATCTTGGAACAGACTGATGACCCATTTATATTTAAAAACATGTTTAAAGAAGATAGAAACTTCCTAAGTATACCTATCTGAGATCCTCTACTTGTTATAGTCTTTTTAGAATTCTTGATTGTAATATTTTGTCCTAGAATTAATTTCCTGAAAACAGATCTGATAATAATTTTCGAAAATTGTTTGATGCAACATATTCCTAGAATTTAATTTTTCTGTCTCACACTTGATAAACAGGATGCTAGCCATCATAGATATGTTCATAATTTGTGTGCTAGGAAGAAAGCTACTGCTAGTTATGATCTTTGTGTATATATCAGAACATAATTTGTAGCATACAGACACAGTTTTTAAAAATGTATTCATGTACTAAGAATACACTGTACACCATAAAAAGTTATTTATTATATAATATAGTCTTGATTATATATAGATTTATGCTGTAGGACCACTTATAAATACAACTGAGTTCTTTTCTCACTTTTTTCATTCAATAAATATTGAATGTTCAGAGCACAAACCTAGGTAATCTAAAATAATAAAAATAATTACAGTGTTTATAATATTAGTTTATACCCATCTAGTACGGTGGTTCTCATCCAAAGATGATTTTGCAGCCTCCACCTGGGAACATTTGGCAATATCTATAAATCTTTTAGTTGTCACAATTTTGGGGACAGAAGGAGTTAATAGATATCAAGTAGGTAAAGACCCACTCTGCTGCTAAACAACATGCAATGCACAGGACAGATTAAAAGTACATGGCCCAAAATGTTAACAGTGCTCCATTTGTGGAACCTTGTCTAGCACTTTATGTTTTGCAAAGTACCTTCTACTTAACAACAACAACAACAACAACAACAACAACAACAACCACATTTCCTACCTTCAAGGAGCATTAAATCTAATCTGGTACACCAGTATTCGAGAAACAATGTAAAAAGAACATTTGTAACTACACCTAAACATGCTGTCGCACAGAAACTATAAAGGGACACAGGTTAAATGTTAATGGAGTAGAGTGGAGTCAGTTACATAAAGAAATTCTGAATTTAGGAAAAGGGGAAGGACCTCACTTGGCAAAGAGGAAGAGAGAAGTTGTCCTGGTGTAGGCATTCAGCACCGTGAACTCATATTGAGCTGCAGGTTCCTATTTAGCCTAGGAAATGAATGATGATTAAAAGTTGACTCCCATCTTAGTCTCCTCCTTCTCACTTGTGTAATCATTTGGCCCAAGAAAATAGTAAGCACCCCTTTACATTAAGGAACCCATTCTCCTTTCCAAAGTGCTTTCACAGCTGTTAGCTCACTTTGCTTTTAGAGTAAATCTATGAGGTATTATCATCTTCATTTTATAAATTAGGAAACTGAGGTTCAGAGATGTCATTCCAAGGTTATTTTAAATCCAACTTCTCAGGCTCTATTGTCTACCCAATAGTTCACCATCGTGGGA